CCCCATTGCTTGACAATATAAAAAGCAGTGAGGTAAAGAAACTTCCCTGAAGGGTCACTCTTGATCTGAAACTGTGTCTGGGTTCACGTTGCAGGTGCGACCCAGTGCTCTCAACCAACCCATGAATTTCTTTTCCGACTTCACCTGCCAGTCAGCCACAACATCCATGTGGGACCCCAAGTCAGTGATGGAGGTCCGCAGTCCAGTCATTTCCTGCTCCAAAGCATCCATCTGAGTGCTCTGGCGTGGCTGTGACGATCCTGCCTCGTCCCCTCTAGGAGTGGCTGTGATCTCAGTAGCTTCAGCAACATCAGAATCATCCTCAGACTCAGACTCATCAGACGAGTCATCATTGCGTCGTACTGGCTCTCGTCCCTCTTGCCCAATTTTTCTCGCCCGGAAAGGGGTTTTTATAGGTAATTTCCCATCAACTCGGGAGTTCTCAGGAACATTAGCAAGGCGGCATATACGGGTGACAAGCGAAGGGAAGTAGTGGCATTTGCTTAGTTCGGGCGATCGGATGAACATTTCTTCAGAGAGGACTCGGGCGACATCAAACCCTTGGTGAGTCATGAAGTAGTAGATCATAGCGGCCCGTGGCCCATTTACATCGGTGGTATTGCTGGATGGTAGCAACCGAGTGGTGATGACAGTGAGCCAACATTTAACCTCCCAAGTAAGAAACTTGGAATGTAGAGTCGTCGGTTGTGCTACCCATTTGGGATGTCTGCCAGGTATACAGATGACCTCTAGAACTCTATCCCAGTCAACCATCGGGCGACTAGCCATGATGTAATGATCATCACTCGTGAATGCGGGGAGGCGATACACCTTGCGGATGACCTCTATAGCAGCATTAATCGGGGTGTTGCGCACAGTCACAACCTTGTCCTCGTGTTCTGGTAGGTTTGCATAGAACTCCCTCACTAGTTGAATATTGGCTTCCTTGGGAGCCTCAAAGAAGATGTCCAGCTGACACCTCTGTAGCTCATCAAACATATTAGGGCATTCCTTCACAAAATCCTTCTTGTCGATATGGACCTCATGGAGTAACTTCTTAGCAAGTTTCTGATTGTACCGTGCCTCTACTTCTGCAGAGACGAACCGAGTGCTATCAAACCGTGGTGCACTGGTTTGGCCCCTAGCTCGTGAGGAGCCTCCTGGGCCACTAGCAGAGGACTCGATGTTTCGTCTCTTACGGGCTGAACTAATAATACCTGTCAAAATAGAGAAACGTGTATTAGGATGAGCCTAAAATGTGTGACTATGGGTGGTTACTCAGACTTCACCACAACTATGTCACAACATCTCCTTATATCACCATTGAGGCAATTTCTCAAACACATTGTGGGCAAGATATTTTCTTCATGTTCATGGCCCCAAGGGAATCAAGAAAACTTGCCCAATTCAACTATCTACTACACCCACACATTCCACACTTTTTGTTAACCATCACCCACCAACAACACCATTCCAAACATTCAAAACACAGCCCCTTCACCAAACATATGCTAAAAATGAAATTACACTAAAAAGAAGAAGAAGAACTAAACAAAATAAAATCCTATCACTAACACTACATTAGAACAACATTAACTAGCATAATGCAACAAAAACAAAGAAAAATAGAAAGAAAAGAGAAGGGGGTCGGAATACCTTAGGGGAAAAAGATGGGCGTGATTGTGAAGGAGGAAGAAGAAGAAGAGAGTATGGAGGGGAGGGTTAGGGTTTAGAGAAAGAGAAGGATTAGGGGACTTTAGGGGGGGAAGTTACGTTTGATTTAGGGGAAGAGGGGTGGGGGTGTTTTTTTATTTTCAATTTGAAGGGAAGAAGAAAAATAAATATTGAAGAAAACGAAAAGAAAAAAAATATATACCGTCTGGTACCCGACCGTGGTCGTGTCCACGGTGCGTGCTGCGGTTTGGGATAGAGTCTCCCGCGGTCGACACAGTGGTCCGCGCCGCGGTCGCGGAGGAACTGCAATGCTTCAGTGATTTCCGCGGTTAGCACCGCGGTCGACGCCGCAGCCGCGGCGACTTTACGTCGCCAGGTAGTGTCTCCCGCAGTCATGGCCGCGGTCGCGGCTGGCAACTTTTTGTTTTTTTTTTCTAAACACAAAGTTACATACTACACTTACAACACATTTGTGGGTTGCCTCCCACACAGCGCCTGATTTAACGTCGCGGCACGACGCAAGTGGTTGAGCCTTCACTCCCCATTCGCGTATTGGGTTCTTTCAATTTGATCACCACTGTATTCCCTTTTTCTTCAGCTATTCCAAGGTAATGTTTCAACCTTTGCCCATTTACTAAGAACTTGTTTGTCCCATCTTCTGACTCAATCTCAACAGCTCCACTTGCGAATATTTGCACCACTCTAAATGGTCCTGACCATCGGGACTTTAACTTACCCGGAAACAATCTCAGCCTTGATTTATACAATAATACCTTGTCACCGGGTTTGAAATTTCTGTCCACATTGTGCTTATCATGCATCTTCTTCATTCTTTCCTTGTAGAGCCTCATGCTTTCAAAGGCTTGATATCTAAATTCTTCCAACTCATGCAACTCTGTTAGTCGATTTTGTCCAGTTGCTTCGGGATCCATGATCAATTGTTTCAGTGCCCACCAAGCTCGATGTTCTATTTCCACAGGCAGGTGACAGGCCTTCCCAAATACCAACTTGTATGGTGACATACCTATTGGTGTTTTGAACGCAGTCCTATAGGCCCAGAGTGCGTCATCAAGCTTCTTTGCCCAATCAGTTCGTGTGGCATTCACCGTCTTGGTTAGTACACTTTTTATCTCCCTGTTGGACACTTCAACCTGCCCACTGGTTTGCGGATGGTAAGGGGTAGCCACCTTGTGGCGTACATCATACTTTGCAAGCAATTTCTCGAAGGCTCTGTTACAGAAGTAAGTGTCTCCATCACTAATGATCGCTCTTGGTATCCCAAATCGGGTGAATATATTCTTTTTCACAAAACCTATCACCACTCTTGCATCATTAGTGGGCAACGCTGCAGCTTCCACCCATTTAGACACGTAATCCACAGCAACAAGTATGTATTTATTGCCAAATGAGCTGACGAATGGGCCCATGAAGTCAATCCCCCAAACATCAAACACCTCTACCTCTTGAATCAGGTTCATGGGCATCTCATGGCGATGGGAAATGTTCCCGGTTCACTGACATTCGTTGCAGTCCTTCACCCATAGGTGTGCATCTCTAAACAATGTTGGCCAAAAGAACCCGTCCTTTAGCACTTTCGCAGTTGTCCTGGCTCATCCCAAATGTCCTCCATATGCTGATGCGTGACAAGCCTGCAAAATAGAAGATTGTTCTATCTCGGGGACACACCTCCGGATCATATTATGAACACAGATTCTAAACAAATAAGGCTCGTCCCAATAATACATACGGCAATCATGATAAAACTTTTTCTTTTGGACAGATGAAAGGTCATAGGGAACAATACCGCAGGCCAAGTAGTTTGCAAAATCTGCATACCATGGCGCATCCTCAAGACTGGCTGCGAGCAGCTGCTCGTCTGGAAAGGTTTCCAGGATCTCTTCGACCTCGACCGATTTTTCAGCTCCTTCAAGTCGCGATAGATGATTAGCGACTTGATTTTTTATGCCCTTAAGGTCACAAATTTCGAGGTCGAATTCTTGCAACAGTAGCACCCAACGAATCAAGCGCGACTTAGACTCCTTTTTCTCAATTAGGTACTTAAGTGCTGCATGGTCAGTGTATACAATTACCTTGGAACCAATCAGATATGATCGGAACTTATCAAACGCAATCACCACCACCAACATCTCCTTCTCCGTCACTGTGTAATTGAGTTGTGCACCGCTTAGCGTTCTGCTTGCGTAGTAAATCGGGTGCATCGGCTTATCTTTTCGCAGCCCCAAGACTGCTCCTATAGCATAGTCGCTGGCATCACATATGAGCTCAAATGGTTGCTCCCAGTTGGGTACAACAATGATGGGTGCAGTGATCAATCTCTTCTTCAGTTCCTCAAATGCCAACCTGCAATCATTAGAAAACACAAAAGGCTGATCCTTTTCAAGGAGTTTGCATAATGGGTTAGCAATTTTGGAAAAAGCTTTTATGAAATGCTGGTAGAACCCAGCGTGTCCAAGAAAATTTCTCACTGCCTTGACTGAAGTGGGCGTTGGTAACTTCTCAATCACATCAACCTTAGCATGGTCGACCTCAATTCCTTTACTGGACACTCGATGCCCCAGGACTATACCTTCTTGTACCATAAAATGGCACTTCTCCCAGTTTAGCACTAAGTTTGTCTCCATACATCTTTTAAGCACTCTCCTTAAGTTGTAAAGACAGTCTTCGAATGAATCTCCCACCCAGAGAAATCATCCATAAAGACCTCCATAATATCCTCCACCATGTCTGTGAAGATGGCTAACATGCACCGTTGAAAAGTCGCGGGTGCATTGCAAATCCCAAAAGGCATTCTCCGAAAGGCAAAGATGCCATACGGACAGGTGAAGGACGTTTTCTCTCTATCTTCGGGGGCTATTGATATCTGATTGTACCCCGAATATCCATCCAAGAAACAGAAGTGCGATCACCCAGCCAGCCTATCCAACATTTGGTCAATGAAAGGTAAGGGGAAATGGTCCTTCCGGGTGGCTTTGTTCAATTTCCTGTAATCCATGCAGATACGCCACCCTGTGACTGTACGAGTTGAGATCAACTCATTGTTCTCATTTTTTACAACAGTCATTCCCCCTTTTTCGGCACACATTAAACAGGGCTGACTCAATTACTATCAGAGATGGGGAAGATGATTCTCGCATCTAACTATTTGATTACTTCTTTCTTTACAACCTCTTTCATGTTTGGGTTCAGCCTTCGCTGGTGTTTCCTAGAGGTTTGTGCCCCTCTTCCAGGAGAATCTTATGCATACAGAAGGCTAGGCTGATACCCTTTATGTCTGCCATAGTCCAGCCAATGGTAGTCTTGTTTTCCTACAGTACCTGTACGAGCCGTTCTACCTGCACATCTAACAAACCGGATGATATGATAACAGGCAAGGTCGAATCAGGGCCTAAGAACACATACCTGAGGTGATCTGGGAGTGGCTTCAGTTCCAACTTGGGTGGTTCCTCTATTGATGGCTTTGCTGGAGGAGTGGCCCTTTTTTCTAGCTCAAGGGACTCGAACTGAGGTTCCCTTGACCAAAATCCTCGGCCTTCCAGTGCCATGACCCATTCAGTTAACCCTTCACCATACATTTCTTCTAAATTCGTCAGACATGCCTCCAATTGATCTTTTACAATTAGGGTCATATCATCTTCTTGCATGATTACATCCACTGCTTCCACTAGAGAGCAATTAGCATATTCACTGGGTCTCCTCATAGATTGCTGAACATTGAATATAACTTCTTCATCGTTCAATCTCATTTTTAATTCCCCAGTTTCACAGTCGATCAGTGCTCTCCCCGTGGCTAAAAATGGTCTCCCTAAAATAAGGGGTATCTCCTCATCCACCTGACAATCCAAGATAACAAAGTCTGCAGGGAAAACGAATTTCCCTACTTGTACCAACACATCATCAAGAATACCAGTGGGCCTCTTCACTGTGCGGTCAGCCAGCTGTAGCAGCATCGAAGTTGGCCTAGATCTACCAATGCCCAGTTTGGTGTACACAGCCAGAGACATCAGATTTATGCTGACTTCCAAATCACACAACACCTTTGCAAAGGCATAACTTCTAATTGTGCATGGAATAGTGAAGCTACCTGGGTCCGACATATTTTGAGCCATCGGTTTTGCCACCACTGCACTGCAGGTCTGTGTCAAAGTTACAGTGGATAAATCCTGAAAATCAAAATTCCGTGACATTAGATCTTTCATCATCTTAGCATAACCGGGCATCTCCCTCAAGGCATCCATCAAAGGAATATTCAACTGAATTTGACGCAGAATCTCCATGAACTTCTTATATTGGTCTTCCTTCTTTTGTTTGACCAGTCTCTCAGGGAAGGGTGCAGGTATCACCCTTTGTGCATTGCTTGCTGGCTTCTCTCTGTTAGAATTTTCTGGCACAAGAGGTGCCACCTGTTCTGCAACTTGCTCATTCATCTTTTCTTTGCTTTTTTTTCCTCCTGACTCTGCTCAACCACCACTTCAGTAAGTTTTGTTGGTTCTTCTACCTCTAATTGAACTGGAGTGGCTGATGTAGTGTCCTTGCTGGCTTGTGCAATTTCCTGCTCTCTGTCTAAATCTCTCCCATTCCGGAGACTTACTGCCATCAGCTGATTCGGGTTTTGGTCCTTGGGGTTTATGTTTGTGTCTGCAGGCAAAGTTCCCTGAGGACGGTTGTTCAAAGCCATGGACAGCTGACCCAGCTGCGTTTCAATATTCTTTATGGCTGAATCATGCACTGCCAATTTTTCCTACACTTTATTATTTGTCCCAATGAGTTGCTGAAGCATACCCCTGATTTCTACCATGTTGTTATCTTGCTGCTGAGGGGGTGGTTGGTATGTCAATTGTTGCTGATTTTGCTGTGGATAGCCCTGTGATTTCTGATATGGTACTGGCACCAATTGGTTTTGAGGGTGCATACCCCCAGGCTGCTGCATATTAGGCTTGTACTGCTGATTTTGCTGCGGTCTCCACTGCTGTGCTCCTTGCCTCTGACCCCCATTGTTGTTGACATAATTCATATCTTCCCTTGCCCTTTGATTTTCACCTTCTCCACTCCATGAACACACATAAGACTGATTAATACAAGGTGTACACAGTCCCCCATTTGTTGTATCAACAATGTGCACTTGTTTTGTACCCATCTCATCAATCTTCTTTGCCAATATGCTCATCTGGGTCATGAGTGTGGCCATGTTCTCTTCATGCAAATTATTTGGGTCAAGAGTAACTGAATGTACTATGGGTGCCAGTGTTGTACCTCTAGTCATCCACCCCAAATTTTGTGACATCTTATCGAGAAGGATTTTGCACTCAGTGAATGTTTTACTTAAAAATGCACCTCCAACTGACACATCCACATTTGCTTTCAAATTGTCAGCTAGCCCCATGTAGAATCTCTGGTCGAGCATCTGATCTGGAATGCCATGGTGAGGACACTTCACTAACATCCCTTTAAATCTTTCCCAAGTTTCTTGCAAGGACTCAGAGGGATGCTGTCTATACTGCAATATGTCATCAATCTGTTTTGCAGTCTTGTTAGGCGGATAGAACTTGTTCAGGAACTGCTTGACTAATTCCTCCCAGGTGGTAATAGAGTTGATAGGGAGCGAATTTAGCCAAGTCTGAGCTTCCCCGGTTACCGAGAATGGAAACAGTAGCAGCTTGATAGCTTCTGGAGTTGCATTTGGCTGCCTTTGGGTCATACAAATTGACAGAAAATTCTTCAAGTGTTGTTGCGAGTCTTCAATGTGTGACCCGGAGAACAGTCCTTTATTCTGCAGCAGATGCAACATGTTGTTGGTGATCTGGAATGTCTCCGCTTGAATTATGGGCACAACTATGGCAGTGGCCAGATTATCAGTTGTGGGCTGTACCCAGTCATAAAGTGCAGCTTCGGGCACAAGAGGTGCCACCCTTCTGACATTTAAGTCAGCTGGTTCATTCCTGACGTTTCTGTTGACGTTATCTACGTCACCCATGTCAAATTCGAGTTGGTGTGATTGTTGAGATTGTCGAAATATTTTGTTGGCACGATTTAATGCCCTGAATGTTTTCTCGGGGTCTGAGAGTCCTTCTAGCAGTTCTCCAGTCCTCGAAGAATTTCTAGGCATACACCTGCTTTCCACAAGAGTTCAAACGTTAGAATTTCAATGAAAAGATTGGGTATAAAGAAAACTGACTACACTTAGAATTTTTGTACTTCTCTCAATTGTAATTGATAACACCGTTAATTCCCGAGCAACGGCGCCAAAATTTGATAACGCCAAACTATGCCTTATACAAAAACACACACGGACGTAGCAAATATAATCTAAGTAATTCTGCCCAGAGTAGAACCACAGAGAATTAACCTATCAATTACTTTTGACGGATTTACTAAATTCACAGAATCAATTTCCCCAAACTTGTAATTCACAATTGATGATATTTCTAACAACTAAAGTCTGAAAATAATTAACAGCTGAAAATTAACTATGCTTGATGTGTAAACAGTTGGAATAAGGTCTAAGGTAATGGTTTCCCCCGTTGGTGATTTCCTTGGTTGTACGTTTCTTATAGCGATGCCTTAGTTGTCTCTATCAATCAAGAACTCTCCAGCTATCATAAATCTCTCTCAAGCAATTATGATAATTTACTAGACGCACTCTCTCAAGCTACGCTAGCTAGATTCACATTACCGTTCTTTTAGATTGCACCCGAGGTATCGTTATCTCTAATCCAATCTCTAAACCCTCGGTTATGACTCTCGTCTATACTCCGGGAGTGATGTTGTTCAAAAAACTACATAAATATGCACTCTCTCTCAAGAAGATACATAATAAATAGGAACGGATAATTGAGGGCCCTTTCAACTAACCACAATCAAAACGTAGATGAACAAACAGAGATTAACAACCAATTCAATCTATATTAATATAACAACCAAGTCATCCCCAATGAGTTTCACCAAAACCTTAGATTAAAGTATTTAGCTACTCATGACAACATAACAATAAACTACGAAAATATTCATAATGGAAAATTGCAAGAAAAATAGAAGAAAATAAGAACTATGATGTTTTGGGTGATCTTTCACACTTGTTCTTCTTGCAAAAGTAATCTCAAAATAAGCCTCCTCTTTCTTGGGCGAGTTTCCTACATCTTATAAGGGTTTTACAAAAAAATTCCCGAATTGACACTTTGGCCCCTTAAATTTCTGGTCTGACCGAGGAGAACACTGACTCCAACCGCGGCACGGACCGCGTTGGCAACTGTGGCGAGTATGCTGGGCCTTTTTATCTCCGCGTTCCTTCTCTTTTTGCTCTTTTGTGTTTGGGTACTTCTTGAGTGGATGTTTTCTTCTCGTTATTGCCTCTAAACACTTCATGTTGCCTCCTCATATCTTATATTCCCTGCGAAACCAAATAGCATTAATTGAAGCATTTTATTGGCAACTTACATTATAAAACAACAACAAAGCATGGACAATTATGGTGTAAATAACAACTATATAGCCTATTATCAATAAACCTCTTAGATAAAAATTATATAACATTAGATATTAATAAAGAAGCAAGATATGAAATTATTGTTCAAATTTTGTATAGACAATGTATTTTTTCTATATCTGCAGCAACTTAACCCCTTGATTTTAGTACTTGCATTTCGTTTCGCTGTCAATATTAAAGAATACTAAACATGTCATGTTGTGATCTGTCTTGTTTGAGCACATTAGATTATATTATTTTAACAAAATTCTTACTATCACTTTATTTTTTCTGAAAGTCAAATATGTCTTATTCATCACATCATTTTTACGCAAATTCCTTTTTCTTTTTGTTCTTTTCTTATTGTTATTGTATTATTTATTATTTAACATTCTTAAACTATTATATAATCTTTTATAAGCTTAATAATTAAATTAATGTCTTGATTATTATCCTTTTAATAGTCTTTAATAAATATATTTTATTCTTGAAATTTAATATATTTATATGCTTTTATCCTCTTATTCGAATTTATTATTCATTTAAAGCTATTAGTAATATTTTTAAATATAATTTAATTATTAAATTTATTTATTTTTAAATTAATTTAAAGTATAAGTATCCTCACACTACCGGTATTCTTTTACACATTCTCTTTCCTACTATAAATTTTAATTAATATTTTACTATAACCATAATAATATCACATTTTATTTTAAATTTTAACTTTGAATTAGTCCAAATATTAATACATAAGTTCTTTGATTATTATGTTCCAAATGTATTGAATTTTCTTATAATTATTTTTGTTTTAGATGTAGTTAAATTTTTGATTAACTTAATGTCTTGCTTAATGTCTTGCCGAGGGTCTCCTGGAAACAGTCTCTCTACCCTTCGGGGTAGGGGTAAGGTCTGCGTACATATTACTCTCCCCAGACCCCACTTGTGGGATTATACTGGGTTGTTGTTGTTGTTGTTGTTGTTGTTGTTGTTGTTGTTGTTGTTGTTGTTGTTGTTGTTGTTAATGTCTTACTTATTATACTTTTATTAGTCTTTAAATAAATATAAATTTTTTATTCGTGAAATTTAATATATTTATATGCTTTTATCCTCTTATTCGAATTTATTTAGTCATTTAAATCTATTAATAATATTTTTAAATATAATTTAATTATTTAATTTATTTATTTTTAAATTAATTTAAAGTATAAGTATCCTCACACTACCGGTATTCTTTTATACATTCTCTTCCCTACTATAAATTTTAATTAGTTTTTATATTAATATTTTACTATAACCATAATAATATCACATTTTATTTTAAACTGTAACTTTGAATTAGTCCAAAATATTAAAACATAAGTTCTTTGATTATTATGTTCCAAATGTATTGAGTTTTCTTATAATTATTTCTATATTAGATGTAGTTAAATTTTCTTTCTTTTTTATACAAATTCAATTTTTAATTTTCATTAGTAAAATTACCTATATTAGAAATTTATTTTTTATTTTTAAAATTTTATTTTAATCATAGAAAAATAGTTTTTTATTGTTTGAACACATTATATGTAAATATTGTGGTAATAGTTTTACTTTCATTTTATTTTTTTTACCTAATATTTTCAAAAATAAAAAAATTATGAATAAAAAAAATTTCATCTTAAATTCAAATAATTCTTACCATTCTATTTTCTAAATTGTACAGCATTTTTGAAAAAATTATGCTATACTTTCAAACTTAAACTAATTGCAGTTCATTCAGATATTAATCATAAAAAAAATATTTTCTTAATTGTTTGACACATTATATCTAAATAGTGTAGTAATATTTTCAGTGTCATTTTATTTCTTTACGTAAAGTTTCTTTCCATTTAGTTTTCAAATACAAATTTAACTTTTAATTTTCATTAGTGAAATTACCTATATTAAAAATTTATTTTGTATTTTGAAACTTTTATTTTTTATCATCTTTTTAATTTTCATAAATAAGACTTCAATTTCGTGGTATTATCCATAGTTTGAGCATTCTCATCATAATTTTAAGAACTTTCTAATCTCAAATTCAAAAAGCCTTTCCCTTTCATTTCTAATAGTAAATTTCTAATAATTTCTTTAGTTTTGCTATTTTTTAATCTAATACATAGTCTTATTACGTTTTATGTGAACTTTCATTAATTTGTAACTTTATTTAATATCATTATCAACTACTATTCTTAAATATACTATAAATAAATATATAATATCATTAATCATAAAATAATTATTTATTTTTTAATAAAATATTGCTAGAAAATTTTAAATTATTTAAAATTTTAATAATATTTTTAGGTATTGTATATTTACTTTGTTTTATTTTCTAAACTTATGATTTATAAATATCCTTACATATCTCTAATTTATTTTTATTATTCAATATTTTTAGTTTTTTATTTTATCTATTAGACTTGAGTTACGTTGACTTATCCATATTATGATCTTTCTTATCATAATTTAAAAAGAATTCTCATCTCAAATTTAAATAAGTTTTACCATTTTTTCTCTATGATAAAAAAATCGAATTTTTATATTTTCTCTATTTATTCTTTATTTTTGCTTTTATATTATTCAATACCTAATATTTTTACATTATTATGTGACTTTTCATTAGCTTGTTTGAATTTAATATCTATTTCTACCACACTCATTCTAATATAAGATAGATAAAAATTTAAAAACTTTCTCATCTCAAATACAAATAATTCTTATCATTTCATTTTTAAATTAGATTGCATTTTCAAAAAACTATGTTATGCTTTCAAACTTAAACTAACTGTAGTCAATTCAAATATTAATCATAAAAAATATTTTTTTAATTATTTGAACACATTATATCTAAATATTGTATTAATATTTACATATAAAATATTCGTTTGCTCGATTTATCAATATTAATATGACTTTATTATTTTTGTTATTGAAATATTTTTTGCTCATTATTTAATTTTTTTTCTTACCTTATAAATAATTTGTATACTTTATGTAAGATCTGATTTTGCTGCTTGAATTTTGTAAAATTTTAAAGTCAATAAATCTTTAATATCTTAAGTAAATTTTAGTTTTATTTTATATTTTAACTTACTCCAAAGTATAAATAGGCATAGGTTATCTCAATTTACGTCTTTCTATATTTTTTCTTTTTTTGTTTTATAGTTTTTAAATTAATTTTTTACCTCCATAATTCTAGTTAATATAGAAGAAAATCTATGAGTGAATCAATATATAGATATAAATATAGATATAGATATAGATGTAGATAAAAATATATACAAACATAATTAATGGAAGTACTTGAATGAATCTTATACATAATCTAAATAGATCTTAGACAAATCTATTCTATATATATATATATCTTAGACAAGTATTTCCAATTATGTTTTCATTTATAATTTTAATTATTATTGTTGTCTTAAAATTACCAAGTAGCTTTATTTTAGCTTGTTACTTGGCTTAACCTCATGCTTCACTACCCT